GGGGGGGGGGGGGGGGAGGTGCGCGCTATAAGGAGTTATTTTATTCAATAATATTTCGTGAACCATTTTGAGTGAATATTCCAGTAGGACCCACACAGGGACGTCACTTGGGTAGTTTTGCAGGTTTTATTTAATTGCTATGTACTGTGGCGCTTCCAGTAATAAACAACTTAATAGCAAATCGACCAAGTTTTGGTTTTGCCCCCCCTACCCCCCCCTACCCCCCCCCTCCCCATTTTTTTCTTTAAAAAAAAACTGAAATTACGCCCCTATTCAAATAATTCATTTCAAAGCTGAAGTTATTACTCAACTAAGTAGATCATACACTTACGCTGGCTGTAGTTTTTAAAAGCTCATTTCCTAACAACGGAAGTGGACGTGTGTTGTCATTCATGAAACATTTAAGCCAGAGATCAAGAGATGATGACGTTTTACATACAATTATGTTTGTTTTGTATGCATTGTTAACTTTGTGTTTTGTAGAAAGCGAAAAAAAAAAAAAGAAAGTGGGGGTGATGGAAGTGTTTGGTGGTGGTGTAGTGAAAGTTGTTTTAAAAAATTTGATGTTTAGCCTTGACGTGACTCGGAAAGAAGAGTGGGGGAGGTCGTAAATGAATCTCAGACACAAATGTATAATACGGCAATTAAGGCTGCACTCGACTTTGTTTTTAGTTATTTCTATAAAAAAAATGTGACCCTTCGGCAAGTTGAGCGAGGATGTTGTGGTAAATAGTTTCGAATTACTTTACTTGCATTTCCGTCTCCAGGAGCTTAAGTATGTGTTGGACAAGCGTGAAATTTTTGTTCTGTCAATTGAGTGCGTCCCGTGCTGAACCAAAAGGTTGCTGAGGTTGATGACACAGAGTTACTGCTCCAGCAGGATGGAGGTGAAGGGAGTGGGAGCGTTAGGGTGACAGGTGATGGGAGAAATAAGACGCGGTGATCAATTCGTTTTATCCCTGGGTAAAGAGCTAAGTCATTATAGCCGGATTTTGTGCAAAAAATATTTTTTTTTACAAAATAATATTTTTACAGTAATAAATAAATTTTCTTCTATATTTTTTTACAAAATAATATTTTTACAGTAATAAATAAATTTTCTTCTATATTTTTTTACAAAATAATATTTTTACAGTAATAAATAAATTCTCTTCTATATTTTTTACAAAACAATATTTTTACAGTAATAAATAAATTTTCTTCTATATTTTTTACAAAATAATATTTTTACAGTAATAAATAATTTTTCTTCTATATTTAATTGGAATACATTGACTTCATGGAGCACTGGCGAGGGGAGAATCCCCAATGATAAGGTTAGTTTAGTTATTTTATGAAAATAGTGTCCAGGTGTGAGTGTGAAAGAGGTACTGGCGTAGGAACTTGTGTGAATGAAGGAGACTCGCGTAAGGGAGAGTGAGGGAACGGGGCAGAGAGTGAAAGAGTAAAGAGTGTAGTTCAATGATTCCTTTAGTGCTTAGTTTTTTTTGGTTAAGTTTGTTAGCGAAACCTACGGTACCCATTGGATTATTTGTTGTTAGTGTTTGTACTGTTGACACTTTGGATTAATTATGCTATTAATAAGCTTAATAATTAAAAACTAAAAGGACTTTGTGTCATTTGCTATGCTTGCAAACTGGCAGGAGAGTCATACCCTAGGCAACGACACAAAGGCACGCAACTCAGTGCTTGACCAGTGTTTCTTTCAGACAGTTTCCTTGGGGGAGAGGGGGTGGGGACCCGGACGACATTTCACATTTTCGGGGAGGGGGAAATACCAGTGACCAGATGCGTAACTGAGGGAGGGTGAGTGGGGGCGGATGGGCGCCAAAAATGGGCGTTTTTGGGTAATAGATACAAAAAATGGATTTCAGAGGTGGGGGGGGGGGGGGGAGGGTAAAAAAA